CCCATTACTGTTGCCCCTATACCAGGGGCAACTTTAATAAAAATAATTAAAATAATTACAACTTTACAAAAAGAGAGAAGTTGCCGATCTTGCCCCTATACCCGGGGCAACTTCGTCAATTTCTCTCTTCTTGTAAAGTTGTAATTATTTTAATTATTTTTATTTCCAAACTGATTTTAACCAGTTCTATAGTAAGGTAACATTCCAATAGACAATATGCAAGCTTTTTTTTTCAGTTTACAGCAGTATTTATTACACAAAATTTAAGTAAAGCTTAACATGCCGATCTTGCCCCGGTCTCCCCTAAACATTATTTTACCGTATCAAAAACTTTAATATAAATGAAATTTAATATCGATTATTAATTACTTCTTAGAAATTGTGTATAAAATGAAGAAATATTTTAAAACTTTATCTCAAATTTACATTTTTTAAAATAGATTTGGTTAAAATGGCAATAATATATATTTAGCTCTATATAAACAACGGTGGGTACACTCCATGTTATCCGTATAAAACCCAAATTTTAAGTTTAGCTCTTCATCCATTCGTTTTTGGATAATGTCTTCTTTATCCGATTTTAATTTGAATAAAGTTTAGCATTAGCTAGTTAATACTAGTTTTACCCGATACTCGGACTTTAGTCATAACATATAGACCTATATAACTTGTATATATAGTCCTATATGTGATTAATTATAAATAATTCCCAAACATTATAAATAAAGACAAATAAAATTTGTTGAGCACTGTAATAAAATTCACGTTCTCTATCATAGTTTATCACATTGGCGGGACGAGTCAACATGAATACTGCTATTATCTGTCGGAAAAAGCGATAATGATAACAATAATACACTTGAGGAGTGATAATCCGAGAGATGCCAAAGTAACTAGACTCTGGCATCTGCTTCGCATCAGCATGACGATCAGCGCTCGCATGGTATCGTGTATGAGTTGCTGTTTGTATACAATATACCATAAATGATATTCCAAACGTTTCCTCTACGTTAATTGTGATTGAATCATATAATTTTGTTGATAATACTTTTAGTCAACACTAGTTTAATTAATACAGTTAATAATACTTATTTTTAAAAAAGTGAAATTATCACAAATTATTTTG